GCTCGTACAACGAGCTTATCAGCTATTACGAATCACGTAATATCGAACATAAGTACTTTTCGGGGATTGACCTCTCATTTCAAACGTGAGTATAATAAAAGACTGGCTTCGTGGTTTACGCTTCAGTCTTAACTTAACAGTGATTGAAGTAACAGTTAAGGAATAATACAAAAGAGAGAACAAAAGTGGAGATACTTTTGAAGAAATTAGTGAAATTGTATAATAGTGATTTCATGTGTATTTAAAAAAAAAGTTTCCAACCAATTGATAGGTATGTAAATTATATGATTCTACAGAAGAACATTGTTTCGAAATCCTCCAATAACACTATCTTTCACAATCAAGTGAAATAATATTGAACAACATGAAGACTGATTTTCTTTTTCTTCTTTCGTTATTAATTTTGAGTGTATGGCATTTCATTATAGTGTAAGATGTTTTTAAATGTTTTAAATGTCAGTGTTCACCTACAGCTATCGCGCGGTTTTTATTGTTTTTAGTGATATTATGTGTCCGTTGGGTTCTTTTTTTTGAAAATTTGGTTCTTATACTAGGTGTATGCTCAAGATATGGGGCTAATGAAATCCCATTTGTTGGAATCTATCAATTATTTGTTGAGTTGTACCTAAAAGTAAACGCGTTTCATTTTATCTTAAGTTTTTCAAAACTAAAATGTCATATTATTGTTTGTCACAATAGACGGTAGTCCGATTAGTGATACTTATTTAAGTTTTACTGAACAGCAAACCAGAGAGTTCGAACGTTTTGATTATTTTGATTGTTTCTGAAGCATAATGATGTCTATGTTTTAATCCCGATTATGTAGCCACCATTCGTCGCTTATGGGCAATAAAGATTCATTTCGATAATTACCTTGATAATAATGAAAATATGAAAATTCAATTTTAAAGTTAAATCGTGCTTTCGTAGGATCGCATCAAAACAAAACTCTCCAATTGTTCAAGATTTGAAAGACATAAGTTTTTCAAATAAATTCGAGCGTGTATATTATGGCACTGCCATAATGGCAGTATGAACATTTGAAAATTACATCGAACAAATGTAATAAAACTAATTTTCATTTTATTTGTATTTTAGTTGGACGATTTTATGCAACAGAGAGCTTCGAAATAAATTAAAAGAAAAAGTGACATAGTAATCATGCCGGTCATTGTTGTTAATGATGAAAACACTCGTCGCAGTAAGGCGACACGAGCCCAGCGCGAAATCTTTTCCATTGAACAAACGCATCAGGAGGTTAGATGTAACCTTTGGTTTTATAAACACATCCGCGGTGCATTTGATCTAGAAACTCTAGGAAATGCAATCAAACGTCTTACTTCGAGAGTTCCATTGTTGCAGACACGGTTCGTCTATTCAGATGGAGAGCTATGGCAGATTTATGACAAGAGCATTCAACACAATTTAAAAACAATTGATGTCCGCACCCATTCTACGCCATTTGAAGAGGCGTTGCGAAAAATGAAGAAAGCTGTGAATCAATCGGGCGGCATGACCGACGATCATCTCTGCGAGTTTACGGTCTACAGCATCGATGATACTAATTACATACTGTATGCGCGATTTCATCACAGCATCATCGATATCAGGTCATGGGCAAAGTTTGAATCCCTGCTTGCTGTCGTTTACAATGATTTGAAGAATGGTAATAAAATCACGGTGCAGCCTAAGTTACACTTTGGTGCACTCTCACACGCTGACACTATTTATCAAGCTTCAGACGAGTACGAAAAGGACGAGACATTCTGGCGGGCTTATGTTCAGCCATTGAAGCGCTTTGCTTACACTCAACGATGTATCAACTCTGCAGGAAAGAAGACCACTCATCGTCATAAAATGCCGTTAAGTATCGGCGAACGTCGAAAATTGCAAAAGGTAGCTGCGGCAATGAATATTCCGGAATCATTTCTTTACGTTGGCGTTTCAGCCTTACTGCTCCGAAGCATTCTTGGGCGAGAGCACGTGAGTCTCAGTCTACCAGTGAATGGAACGGATTTGACTAATGAGCTAGGCATGACATTCAACGTCGTGCCATTGCTGTTGCATATCCCTGAGGATGCTACGATACACGAAGCCTTACTTCGAATCGCTCAAGAAACCAAATCAATCCTGAAACATCAGCGTTACCGAATCGAGGACATTTTGAAGTTCGCCAACTATAGCTCAAACGCTAGTTTTGGTCCTCATGTAAATATAATGTGCAGTAATCATGGGGAGAAGCTTTCAGGCTGTAGCTGTTCATCCCATTTCGGTGGAAACACTGATATCAATGACTTGCAAATAACATTCTGGGCAGATCGCCCAAACGGTCGACTTGACATTCTGCTCGAAGATATTCACGAAGGACATTCAGAACAACAACTCGCCACCTTAAGTGAACACATGTCTTTCATTCTAGACCAGGTTTTGTATGCGACCAACAGTACAGTTTCCACACTTGATGAACAATGTGGCGATGTCACAACCGTCGAGCTGAGCGAGAGTTTTTATGCTAATCGACGCAAGCCGATTGCAGCAGGCTTTTTGCAGTGGAGTCAATCCTGCGATGTCCTTATTCGTCACGTGTATTCCAATACGTGGGTGGGAAGCGGAGACAGTCCTTTTGCAGCAACAAAGGTGCTTCTTAGCGACCGGGCTGTGAGTATTAGTAAATTGGAACGCGTAGTGGATTCTGTGTGCAAAAAAGCACCTGGAACAGTGTTGACAATCGAAGAAAGTGCTTGGCATGTGGCTGCTGCTGACGGAGTCGTAAAAATGAGTCATTTTCTGGACGAATTTGGCCAAACTATCTCGGCTCGAACCCTTGCTAATCAATGCCATATCATCGAAGGTGGACAGCTTCCAATTGTCAAACCAGAGCAGATTGAATGGTTCGGCGAGGCACATACCCAAGCCATGATGGCACATCCACCTGCTCGCTGTCTTCATCAGTTATTCGAAGCGCAGGTGGAACACGATGGACAGGCAATTGCCGTTGAGTGTGAAGGACGTACTTTGAGCTACACAGAACTCAATGCCCAAGCAAATCAATTGGCACATTACTTGGTTGCACGAGGCGTCAAACCAGATGATCGCATCGCACTTTGCGTTGACCGCAGCACCACAATGATCGTAGCAATGCTGGGCATTATGAAAGCAGGTGGTGCATATGTACCACTCGATCCAGCTTATCCAAGTCAACGACTGAACCATATTCTACAGGATGCTAATCCTATATTTCTGTTGGCCGATGCTACTGGTCGGATCGCCTTGGGGGACCATCAAGTACCAGTAGTAGATATACAAGATCAGGCGTTATTTGCTAGCCTTCCAGCTGATAATCCAGATTCAACGAAGCTTGGACTCATTTCAAGTCATCTAGCCTATGTGATTTACACATCAGGATCGACCGGAACACCAAAAGGAGTGATGATTGAACATCGGTCGTTGTTCAGTCTTGTCCAAACCATACCACGATTCGAAGTGAGTCCTAACAGTCGTGTCCTTCAGTTCGCTTCCTGCTCTTTCGACAACAGTATCTGGGAAATCGTTTTAGCTCTAACGACTGGAGCCAGATTGTGTATGCCGAATGTCGAAGAGAGACTCACAGACACCGCTCTGCTTAAGTACATAAAAGCTAAAGGAATTACTCATGCAGATTTGGGCCCATCTCTTTTCCGCAACACGAAAAACCTAAGCGATTTAAATGGCATGAAAGTATTGATTTTAGGTAGCGAAGCCCCGAATTTATCTTTAATATCAGCCGCTAGTCGCCAAACTGTGGTTTATAATTTATATGGCCTGACTGAAACAACTGTCAACGCAACATTTTGGTTATGTCCCAAAGATTTCGACGGTGACTCAGTACCAATGGGCCGCCCGCTTCCATCCCATTGTCGTACATATGTGCTAGACTCAAATGGTGAACCAGTGCAACCAGGAGTCGAGGGAGAATTGTATATTGGTGGTGCTGGTTTGGCTCGTGGCTACCTAAACCGTCCTGAACTTACAGCAGAACGTTTTCTACCTGATCCATTCAGTGTCCAATCAGAAGCACGAATGTACCGTACTGGTGATCGAGCACGATATTTGCCTGATGGCAATTTGGTATATATGGGACGTATTGATCAGCAAGTGAAAATCCGTGGATTCCGAATTGAGCTCGGTGAAATTGAAGCCCATCTAGTCGAACATCCTCAAGTGCATGCAGCAGTGGTACAACCTTACGGCAATGGATCAGAGGCACGTCTAGTAGCTTATGTGGTGACCGAAACAGATACATCATTAGCTCAAGATTTGCGTAGCTATCTATCGACCCTACTGCCTGATTATATGGTACCAGTGGCTTATGTGTGTCTACAGTCCTTACCGCTCACACCCAATGGCAAGCTAGACCGACGAGCATTGCCGGCTCCGGATGAAGAGTCATTTGCTCGTGAGAAATATGAAGCGCCACAGGGTGAAATGGAAGAAAAAATGGCCAATATCTGGCGTGAACTGCTTGGCATTGAGCGTATTAGCCGATATGACAATTTCTTCGCTTTGGGAGGCCATTCGTTGTTGATCGTACGGCTTTTGGCAGAATTGAGACGAATTGGACTAGACACCACCGTAAGAGAAGTGTTCAATGCTCCCACTCTGTCAAAGCTGGCATCGACAATCATCCGTTACCATGCACTGACAATTCCACCCAATCTGATTACCACAGACAGCATGAAGATTACTCCAGAAATGTTGCCACTTATAAATCTTACGCAGGCAGAGATTGATACAATCGTTGCACAGGTACCTGGCGGTGTGGCCAATATTAAAGATATTTATGGATTGGCACCATTACAAAACGGTATGTTGTTCCATCATATGAAAGCTGAACGTGGTGACCCGTACCTAGTGATAAGCCGTATGGTGTTCACTGACAAGACAGCACTTATACGTTACGCGGCCGCCTTGCAACAGGTAATTGAGAGGCACGATATCCTTCGCACGGCCTTCATTTGGAAAGGTCTTAACGAACCGGCACAGGTCGTTTTACGCCAAGTTCCTTCGTTACTCACTGAGGTAACTATGGATGATACCAGTGACACGGTACTAGAACAATTAAGCCACCGCTTTGATCCACGTCACTACCGGTTGGATCTAACAAAGGCACCGTTATTGCGTTTGATTGCTGCTCCAACATCTGAGGGGAGCTGGGTGGTGCTGCAACTGTTGCACCATACAATTGCTGATCATTCAACAGATGATATACTAGCGGAAGAAATTCATGCGATCTTCGATGGACAAATTGAAAAATTGCCAACACCTACGTCATTCCGTCATGTTGTAGCCCAGGCGCGACTAGGAGCTAGTCCAGTTGAGTATAAACGATTCTTTAATCAAATGCTCGGTGATATTAACGAGCCAACTTTACCATTTGGTTTAAGTGACGTTGGGCTTGACGGAACTATGATTAATGAGGCACATCTAATGCTACCACAGACACTCAATGATCAGCTACGAGCTATTGCACGCAAGCTTCAGGTCAATTTGGCCAGTATTTGTCACTTGGCTTGGGCACAAGTACTTGCTCTAGCCAGTGGTCGCGAGGCAATAGTTTTTGGTACTGTGCTCATCGGCCGTTTACAGACTGGAGAAGAGAATAATAATATCATGGGACCGATGATCAATACACTCCCAATACGAATAGACGTCGATG